ACGGAAGCGGTTATTAAAATATCTTCGTTTATGTGCGGCATAAAAGTGCGAATTCAAAAGATTAACACATGTTCCATTTCTAAAGAATTATCATTAAAAAATTCACAACATAAATTCACTAATAATGATTTGCCTCTCAACTAAGTTCAACTCTACAGAACTAAAATTATCCCAAAAAACTTATAAACTTGTACTTTCTTCTAAAAGCTTTTTATCAAATTTGCAAGTAATTAATATTTACGAGCAGTCATAACTTTAGATTGTTTGAAATAATTAGGAAATCAATTAAATTAAAATGGAATTCAGTTAAAAAATCACATAAGAAATTGTATGTCATTCCTTATTATAATTATAATGATATTTTGAAAAAATATTATTAATATATTATTACAATCTTTGTGCAGCTAAATTATTATACGTTAATTAATAGAAGCTAATTTAATAAATCTTTAATAATCGGTTTAGTCTTTATAGAATTATGTGGTACTCATTTAACATTTCACTAAAAAAATTTTCATAATTAAAAATATTATTTGAAAAATTCTCTCAATATGAAAAGCTTGTATTAAAAGTAAAATATGCACTACATAAGTATATCAAATCAAATGTAATAAATTGAAAAAAATATTAATATAAAACTATAGAAAAAGTTTAGTTGAACATGTCAACTCCTGGATACCTGTGCGAATTTTCCATTCTATAAGCAAATAAATATGCTATAACTAATCATGGCACTGATTGTGGCTGACTTTACGGCGAATTTATAACGCCTTTAGCACGGACAGACATTGTCAAATAGACTCAAAACTCAGCGTTGATCTAAAACATACCTTTATGTCTACATTTCAGACCATTATTTCCAAGCGTTACAAACGGTAACGAAATTTTATAATACACTTTGAACATACTTTCTATAATACGTTAGTATCTATATAAAAATCTACTATAAAAAAAATAGAAACAGCTGATTACGAAAACAAGAAAACAAGGAAAAAAGAGTATGTTTGTCGTTTAACTATGATATACGTTCAGACTAGTTTTTTCTAATAGGAGGGATTATTATCAGCATTATTAAGACTAAGCTTTTGATTGTAAAACTTACTATGACGTTTGCGGATTCCATTAAATGTTATAGTTGTAATAAACACTTGCAAGTTCAAGTGTATGGGCATAAAAATTTTATCGTTATTGTTTATTTGAAATTTATTAAGAAAAAAACTGGTTACTTATAGAACTTTACAAAAAATTTTAAGTTTTTTGCAATAAAGAACAAAGATCATACCGCTTTATAAAATGTTTAAACCTCATATTTTTTTCAGGTTTTTAAATATGGGAGCATTCATTTTTAATTAAAAAAATTTAAAACTACATAAATGAATAAAACAAGTTTTAAAAAGCTTAAGGTTCATGAACTACAAATATAATGCAAGGTAATTTTAAAGTAGGCAAGGTATATTAAAAGATTGAGATGGCGCACATATTGAACATAATATTGATTTTATCTTTAGTATATTGTGCATCATTATGACTTTTATACATGTTTGTATACATATACATGCATACATTTTATAAGTATATATAATTTCTTGCGGATATGGGAGTATTTTGGTAAAAAAAACGCATAGAAACGCAACAATGCTTTCGAAGATTTATGTTGGAATAAAGATGCAAAAACTTGCATAAATTACACTTAAAGAAGATGAAAGATTAATTAAAATATGCATTAACCTTCAAAATATCCACAAATACAATAAAAAAACCATATGAAAAAGTAGAGAAGAAACTTACTAAATCATCAATGTAAAAAGTTGTGAGTTTTTCATTTATATAAAACCACATTATGGGTACACTGGAATCGCAAAAAAATATACAAATTCAATAAGAAGTTTTTTGTACTTAAAATCATTTAAGTAACGTGTTTCATTCTTTAAACAATTATTAATTTTGTACACTCATTCCAATGTAATATATTTATTTGTTTATGAACTAAAAGGTATATTCAGAAGCCTCTAATCTACACGCGCTGTATATAATGAATTAATTAACCACCTAGGGGGTAAATGAAAAATATTTAAATTCATTATCACCAATGACTCTTTCAGTTCTCAAAATTTTTTTTTAACAAAATTTTAATTAATAAAATTTAAAATTTCAGTTTCATTTCAAGTTTCTGTAATTCCAAAAAAAAAAAATCTCTTGCAGAATAACATTAGTAATGACGTTACCCACAATAATAAAAACAATACAACAATTTGCTGTTTTTATAAAAAATCCGGTATCGATTATTTTGGTAGCCAGAATTTAAAAACCACTACATTAATTGTTTGGGACAAGTTTGCAATTTATTTATTTGCGTAGTTATTTTGCATTTCGATATCAAAATCAATAAATCAAACCATTTTAGTTTTATACCAAATTTTTTACAATTAATTTACTCTTAAATTAACATTACAAGAATAATTGTGTTATGTCGACCGAACCTCATAAACGTTTTATTAGACAAATGTTTTTTAGACAACAAGCTACATGTAATTGTTATATTGTTATATGTGTATATCAATTATTGTTACCAATTTATGCGTTCAATTCATTGGGTCATTTCTTTTAAAAAAGTTCGAAATACTTTTTCAAAATGAAAAACGCCTAATACAATTAAAGCATAGTTAGACTTGCTTAACACAATATGTACAAAAGTTTTATACATTTTACAGCTTTCCGAATACAACTTTAGTTAACAATATTATGTACATACATAATACTTACATTTTAGTTTTTCGAGAGGCTTATGAGAGAGGAAAAGAGAATAATATCTACATTTATTAATTTATTATTGATAATCTCTTTGCTCTCTTAATTTCTACACTTTTATGACAAGGTTTGATTTATATTGAAAACAAACAATTAAAATAATTAAATTGCTTTTATAACAAAAAAATTAAAATTTTTTTTTATAATATTTTTAAAACGAATAATATACTGAACGCTTCAATGCGCGATTAAATTGTTTAAAGTAATAAAACGGGAAATTATAAAAGCTTTGGTAGCAGAAAGATAACAAAAATGGTCCAAAAACTTGGTGAACACATACGAGTTTTGGTCAAGGTTATTTTGTGACTTTATTTAAAACGATATAATATTGCATACATACATGCATAAATAAGTATATTTAGGGTATACGATGTGTATTTTTTGTTTGTAATTATTTTGTTTGTAATTATTAATAATTTATTTTAGCCCAGACAAGACCCGAAAATACTTGTTTTTGTCAGTAAGGTGAATTTTAAGTGATTGCTTTCATCTTATTTCAGTCAGACACAAAAAAGTTGACATATTCAAAATATTTCTGCTTTTATAGTAAAACTCAGTAATGCGGACTCTGGTTCAGTCACAACTCACAATTGGTTTGCTCGTAATATCGACTGTAATACAATTTTGAAATTTGGACTGTAATACAATTTGGACTGTAATACTGATCAAATCGGTAATTTGTAAGGGTTAGAATATAAGCGTCTCTTATATTCTAGATTAATGCGAAGATACATGTTAAATATACTCAACGAAAAATTGTGAAATTAAAAATATTTCTGATTTAATTACCTTTCAACGCAAATAAGTAAATATGTATTCACGTGGACTTTGAAACTTAACAGCACTATTTTAGTGTTGGTAAATATTTATATTTTTTACTGTCGTATCGATGAGAGTACATTAAAAATTTCATTAGACTATATGATTGTGTGTGTATAGGAAATTTTATCTTGCTTTATCTACAAGTTTTATGATTTTGAAAACCGCGTAATTGCTGGAGTGAAACTTTTTTGATTTGGTTCAAAATATTACTATTTATCAGTTTTAATGATAATATTTTATTATTATTTATTTATAAAATAAATTTAAATTAGTTTAATTGATTTTAACAGCTACGTTATATCGCTTATATTGAATAAATTATTGTTATATACTTATATAAAAATTATTAATTATTATATAATAAATAATTAATATAATACAATTCCCCATCACAAAATCTAACATGTGCTGAGAAAGTACATAGATTAGCAAGATTAAAGTTCTCAATTAAATGCAACAATGTGAAAACTCACTCATATAAATATAAATTCATAAATATAACATATTGCAGTCTCTTACAGCTATAATTTATTTATTCACTCAATTTTATTATATTTATGATAATATACTAATGTTTTATTTATTTACAATTTATTTGTTTTGACCACCTTCCTATATAAGATTACTGAGATAAGCTTGAATGAGCGCTAACTGAAATTTACAGAATGGTTTAAAAAAATTTGACTACTTATGCAAAAGGACACTGGAACTTGTGTAACGAAGTTCTAAAACTAGAGTATTACTTATTTCTGTATTTACTTATTATGTACGTATTTGCAAATTAATTGTATACCTATAAAGTATTTGAGTAAGACTCACTCATTATTGTTCTTATATATTTCAGATGGAATTCTGTGATTAAATTTAACATGCATTAAGCAGGTTTCTGAAAAAAATACTTGAATTTGTGAAATTAGATTTGATTAAAATACATATTTATTTCCCGCATAAGTCATTCTACCCTAACTAAAGTAGTGATGAATGGACACAAATTAAGAAACGCGCTGCTATCTGACATTTCTAGTTGGTTTATGAATGAATACAGCATTATACAAAGAAAATTATCGCAATTTTATCTAAAATATTAAAACTCACTTTTTGTTTTATAATAGACAATTATACTGGACAATATTGTCATTTCGGCTTAAGTATATGCATTTTGATAATCCATTATATTTCATAATGTCAATCCATAAATTAACTTTGAAAACACTCTGTAGAAAATGTTCTAGATTGAGAATAACAAAGCAATAATAAGAATTTAAAATTTTATAAACTTTTATATAAAACGTTTAAAACGAGTTGCAAAAGCTTTATTTACTTATCACAATTTAAGTACTTTTTTAATCAATATTCTATTTTACTTTTAGTCGTACTTCAACCACTTAAGTGACAAGAATTACTTTTTTTCCATTAACTGAAAATTTACTATAAACAACAAAAAACAACTACATAAAAATTTCTTTCACGAAAATTCAAAATGTTTTTTCTTTTGCTATCAACATTCTTAATATTGTTTATAACATTTTTATATATAGTTGATTATAGATCACGTAAACATGTTGAAAAATTTAAAAATATACCGGAACCACCAAGTATTCGAATCGTAGGTAATATATATCATTTTCTTCATGATGATGTCGCAAGTTTACAACAAATAGTATTAAACTTTTTTGATGAATATGGTGATACCTATAAAATATGGTGCGCTTGGCAATATAGTGTACTGACATGTAGTCCAAAAGTTACTGAAGAAATTTTATCATCAAATAATAGATATATGGAGAAAAATTTTCTATACGATTTATTAAAACCGTGGTTAAATGAAGGACTTCTATTATCCGTTGATCATAAATGGCATAGTAGACGAAAAATTCTAACACCGGCATTTCATTTTAAAATATTAGAAAGTTTTGTACCGGTATTTGAAAGACAAGGTGATATTTTAATTGAAAGAATAAAAAAATTAAATTTAAATGAGGACGATATATTTGATATTCATGAATTAATTGCAATGATAACATTAAATGCTATCGCTGAAACATCAATGGGTATTAAAGTAGACGACGATAATGTTTACACTGAAGCAGTAAAAGCGTAAGTATAAAATAAAAATATGATTAAATACTTTGTCCTTAATTGAATTATTTTGGATTTTAATTTACAGAATGTCTAATACAATAGCAAATAGATTCATAAAACAGCATAGAAGAATTGATTTTCTATGTTTTTTTACGAGAAATGATTTATTGAAGGATTACTATAAATGGTTAAAGATCTTACATAAATATACAGAAAAAACTATTGTAGAACGTAGAGCATTGCTTGAAAATTCTGTAATAGAAAATGGATTCTCGATTGAAAGCTCAGGTAATTTAGTATTAACAAATAGTTTAATATTAATTTATTGAAAGAGTGCGGTACTACTCTAAGGATTACCATATTCAATAAAGATTAATTATAAATAAATTGAAACATTTATGCGAACGTAACCAGTCATATAGGCTAATATTTCGCTCTAGAGTTTTACAAACTAATTATTTTTTTCGCAAAAATTCATTTCCAGATGACAACGAGAACTTGGGTCAAAAGAAACGAATGGTATTTTTAGATGTCCTCTTACAATCAACCATTGATGGGAAACTTCTTACAAATGCAGATATTAGAGAAGAAGTTGATACTTTCATGTTTGAAGGTAAATTAAATAATAAATTAAAAACAATGTCGCTTAGTACTAACCATGTAGATATTTAGGGCATGATACAACATCTGCTGGATTATGTTTTACTTTACATGCAATTTCAAGACATCAAGATATACAGGATAAAATTTTTAATGAAATTATTGAAGTTATTGGAAAAGATAAAAAGAAATCAATTGGTTATCGAGAATTACAAGATTTAAAATATTTAGAACTTGTTATTAAAGAATCATTAAGAATGTATCCCCCAGTTTCAGTTATTGGAAGAAAAATTACAACAGATTCTGTAATAGGTACAATGACAATAATATTTTTGTTTTAAATTAAATGTGTGTAATTAGTTTGTTCTCGATTTTATATTTTTTTTAGATGGAAAATTTTTCCCTAAGGGCACTGAATTAATTTTATATTTAGAGAAATTAATGAGAAATCCAGAAATTTTTCCAGATCCAGATAAATTTATACCGGAGAGGCATTGTTCAAATAATTACACTGAAATAAATCCTTATGCCTATGTTCCATTTAGTGCTGGTCCTAGAAATTGTATTGGACAAAAATATGCAATGTTAGAAATGAAAATGATTATAGTAAAAGTTTTACAAAATTTCGAACTTTTACCAAATGGACCTGATGTTATACCTGTTAATATTATTATATTAAAGTCAACTTCAGGTTTTCATATGGGTTTCCGGGAAAGAAATTATAAATAATTTTTGTTGATTAATTGAAATAATGTTGGAAATTAATTGTAAGTTAGATTAGAATTTTTTGTAGGATTAATAAAATAAGTCGCTATTTGTAAGCGCAAATGATAAATTTATAAAATTTTTTAGTAAATAAATTTGAAATAGCTTTAACAATAATTTATTTAATATTAGAACAAATTAGCTTTCTTTAAAAGAGATTTTTATAAATGTTAAAAATTTTATTTGATTAATATGTAAAAAAAAGAGCAAACAAATTCTTATCAGCAGGTTATTTGGCTGATTTAACAATTTACGATTTATAGGTTAACAGTTCAGCAAATTTCTACCCAGGTTTTTTTTTTACATTATTTTAGATTAAAAATTTGATTTTCGATGAATTTGATAATACTCGTATTTTTACACGGATTCAGTATTTGATTTGATCCTTGGCTATTAGTAATTCGAAGCAATCTCAATTTTATGCGGCTAAATTAATTTTTATTTTGCAATTTTTTATGTTCACCAACTTTCTCTATTTCAATAAAAATTTTTTTCGTGATTATTGAAAAATGTATTATTTTGTACGTTTTTTGATTCATTTGAATTCCAAACAATCTTCTTAAGAGTTTGATTGTGAACCACAATTAAAAATAAGGAACTTGTGTTCACATTTATTCGTCGTATCCAAACTTCGATGGACAATCTTATTTAATTTAGTTTCCATTTTTGCTCATTAAATGAGATTAAGAAAAATTTGGTGAAAATTTATTGATAAAGATAAATTAATATTTTAACATGGCATTCACTTTGTGATCCGAGATGCCGTATTACGATTTTTGAACTCTGAGCACAAATTTACGTATATTGCATTAATATCATTTAAGGACCGTTGTTATTACTGCAATATTGTAACCCAAGCTTTAAGATTACTAATAACATGGAAATTATGAAATTTATCTCATTTGCTTTGAAATAGTATAAATTCTATCAGATTACAATATTTGGAGAGTAACGTAAAATCATGTAATTTACATAAGTTCCTACTACTCATTTACATTTTCAAATGAATATATTAGAATTATACATGTTCTAAAATATATTTAATTAAATAATTAATAAGTTTAGAAAATTGCAAGTAATTTTGAAAAGCTTCTACTTTAATATTATATGCAACGTTTAGAAATTAGCAAGTTAAGAGAAATTATAAATATGGGTGTTTTTAACATACCATATACTTTTTAGTGTGACTTTAACGGTTCAGTGACAATTCAAATAATGTAAATTAGTAAATTTTTTAACTGGAAGTGTTATTAACATAGCATTGTATATTTTGTATGAATATTATAAAAAATTCATTTTCTTAAACTCAACTTATTTTCATAAACTTTATTTAGAATCAGCTTCAATAATTTTTTTAACATTGCGTTAATTTTGTAGTTTAAAATAAGTCAGAAAATACTCCGTTTACAATTCGCAGTGTGGTTTTACAATTGCTGGTATTCTAGGAAGCGAATCATTAAATGGTTTGGTATTTTTATCGTAAAATAATATTGTAGTAAGAAGAAGTTTTTGTTGTAAACATGATTTGCGTCTGTAATATAAAGTTTAATGTATGCGATAATATATTCTGCTATTAGTGATTAACTCCTTACAACAACCCGCAATATCAATCAAAAAAAATTCTATAAAAATCTTAAATTCTTGGAGTTTTTTTGTTACTAAAAATTCAATATTAAAAAGTTCGCATGTTATACAAAAAAATCAACATTTTCTAAAGGAAGAAATAATCCGATAAATTTTTTTCTTTTCAATAAAAACAAAAAAAAAGAAAATAACAATAAAATTCCTTTACGTACAGGTGAAAAGATTTTCAACAATAAAATAATGGATTTTTTTTTTCAATAAATTCCTAACATTAGTAATGAATGCTAAGCGATGTGTAAACTAGTTGATTGTAAATTATATTGTGTAATCGGATATTTAAAAGTAACTTTTTTTTTTGTTGGTTATCAAGGTAAATGATATTATAAACAAATTTGTGTATATTTGTGTGTGTGTGATATCGATAAGGACTAAAATAATATTAAATCGTTATTAGATTTTTATTACTATTATTTTTATTTGATTTTGTTTGTGAAATGAAAGCCCATTATATTTTTATTGCTATTATTATCCCTATTTCATGTATGAAAGCAAAAGATAAAAAAAATTAAGCGAATGCTTTTTCTTATATTTATTTATTTGTGATACAAGGTGTCTGCCTGTATTCAATAATCGTTTATGAATCGTTTAAATAATGCAAAGATTTTTGCATATTGTGGCTACTGGATTTATTAATAGGTTTTTCGATTAAGTTTTCTAAAAGAATAAGTCTTAAAACAGGAATAGTTGTCAAACACCAGATGAGAATATCAAATCCTTTGAGTTTTATAACAAGTCTCTTTAAATTTCTCCAGCTAGACTATAGGTTTTTCCAAATATTTTATTAAATTTTTTGAGAACTAGAATAATTTTTCTAAATAGTTTTTGGAAAATGGCGAAATTTGCTTTTGAATGTGAATGTGTAACTTTTGAAATGGCATACATAGTTACTTCAACCGGAAATGAGTAAAATAAAGCTCTATTTATCTATTATCATTTATATATTTGTACATACCAATTGTATGCATTTACCACTGTAACAGAAATGTAACTGTAACGGAAAATATGTATATACTTATTCTTTCTTAAAAAAGTAAAAAGAATTTTTACTCTCCCGTCCCCATCTCCATCCAAATTTAATTATTAAGATTGCTAGTGTAATCACTTTAAATAGATTTTTTTAAAATTGAAAAAAACAGATGAGGTATTGTTTTATTTTAAAAGCAGATTGTTTTAGTCCTTTAGAAATTTCTTAAACACTATAATACAATACGAAAACTGTATACTGAACCACCTTGTACTTTATATGATGTATTCTTAAGTATTATTGAAATAAATACGTGATTGAATTTATAGGTTTATGAAACGAGAAATTTTTGTGTGTAGTGGACCGCTTTCTTTTGTAAATAATTTTTAATCGATTTTTTTTTAACAAAACTGAAATATTTGAGATTCGTCGTATGTTTTGAACAAAGAAGTTTTTATATAATTTAATATTAAATTTTTGTTTTGTATAGAAACAAAATTTATGTTGCCTCGAAATTTAAACTTAAACCTGAGTGGTGACTAAAAATGAAAATAATGAAAGTTAACAAAAATATTAAAATATTTTCAAAGTCCTTTCTGTTATTAAATTTCGTCGGTTAAAAAGCAGAAAGCACTAAATGCATTTTTTGAGAATTCGGATTTTATAGATGAATTAAATCAGAATAATATAATCTTTGTTGTGGCAAAAAATCATGCAAATCCAGAATGTAGTTTATAAATCCAGAAATTAAAGAGACCAATCTCATTGCACTAATTGATTAGTTTTACAATTTTACGATTTTTTCATATTGACTTTACTCAAAACACAGTTTCCTGACTTAACGCTTTCTGCTTTTTAACCGACGATTTAAAAGTTAAAAGTTCATTTTCTTGATTTATATAAGTATATACGAAATAAAATTCAAACAGAGTTGTAGTTAAAAAAAATTTAAATTTAATTTTAAAATTAAGTAATGGACATGGGAATTTCAATGCCTGAATCTATGATCATTCATTCGATTGGTGTAGCATAAATTTAAAAAAAAAAAAGGAAATTTTCAATTAAGTTTTTCGCTTTTCATCTAAATTGGCCGATATTAAATAATACTCTCAAATTTGATTTGCTCACAAATGACTAAGCTCATCACTTTCTAGAAGGCATTGAATTAATTAAGCATTTTTCACCAGCATTCTTTAAAAAAATAAAAGGAATAATTAAGTGGTTACTCGCTGCCAATATTGATTTTAATTTTTATATTGTATTATACAATAGGAAATTAAAAGAATTATAAGCAAAAATTTCTGCAAGATTAACAATATTATAAAATCAATCGAAGTAACAGAAATATTTAAAATGCAACATTCAAAACACGCGCTGAGAAAATTTATACTCAGAATAACTTTTATTTCTAAAATTCTATATATATAAGATAATCACACCGGAATCACAGAATTTTAAAAAATGAACAAGTGCTTTTTATATAATATGTATAAAAATATAAGGTTTATTTCATGTACATAAAATGGTAGGGATTCATCGGCGGTAATCACAATTTTCAAAATATTTTGTTTACTTGTTGAATTTATTTAGGTTACTTTAAAAAACAAAATCCTTTTTTTATTAAAAACGAAACGGGAAAAAAAAGCGAAAGCAAAAGCAGGACTTGACCTCCAGTATTTTAATATTTAACCAAAATGATTTGCTATTTGTAACGCTCAGATTAACCTTAAGGTAAATATTTAATTTCAAAGAAACAAACAAAAAATAAAATAAAAAGAACCTTGAAATACTAATATTATTTAAATCTTTCTAACCCACAAAAGAAAATGTAAAAATATTAAGTATACGAAATTGTGCTGGAAGGAAGATTTTCGAGTTTAAGTTAATATTGTTCTAAAAATATTTTCACATTAAATTTTTAAATTGTATAGTTTTTCAAAGCAAATACGCAATACCAAAATGGTTCTTCTTTAAAGATGGAAAATATTCTTACATTTCCTACATATTTTCTAAATTTAAATTCAACTATAAAATTAAAATGTTTGAATATTTTGTTTGCAGATAATAAAATTATTGAATTTTTTCTTTTAAAATTACGTACTACTCGTATGTAGCAGAAAATGTTATTAAATAAAATTATAAAATAATTTGAATTAAATTAACATACCTAAGTTATAGAATTATATTATTCGTTATATTATTAAATTCACACTAAAGAAAAATACATCTACATAGTCTATGAACATAACGTGTTATAGCTCTGATAAATTGATTTGAATTTTGGTTACCAGATTTTATAAAACTGCTAGGAAGGAACAGATTAAATTTTCGGAGATTGAATTTAGGCTAACAAAAAATGCCTTGTGGATATACCTTGTGGATTGCAGATTTTTTAAAGGGAACCGAGTGGGGTAGGAAAATCCCCTTGGGTCACCACAGCCATTCGCGACTTATTGCAGCCCAGATATGCCTTGAAAAGAGTTCTTGCGCTTTTGTCAAC